AAGAATTCTTCTTATTTAAAACTTATATTTATATATGGGGGGGGGGGGGGGGGGGGGAAAGAATCCCTATCTTTTCTCTTTTTGGATAATATCTCCAAACACTAACAATATCTCCCCGAATTAAAGCCTTTGTTTCTATAAATGGGGAGGTTTCTTGGGAAACCTTTTGGTCCTAAATTAAAAATAGGAATCCAATTATTTTATAGTGTTTTTGGAAGTTTCCCCCTCAAGCCCAGGATTTATCAGGGTTTAATGGGGACCATAGATACTATTTTTTTCATCAAATGTAGGAAAACACTTTTTTGGATTTCTTGAGTTTTCTTTTATCAACACAAATTCTTTGACAATGGGAAAGCAGTTACCCCCGTAGTAAAATTAAGATTTTATTAAAGTTTCCAGTACATTTTTTACATTTTTCAGGCAAATGAATACCATTATATATCGTAATTGATCCATTGTGAAAATTATTGCTATTATTCTGTTCATACCCCATCACCTATAGATAATTTTAATGCCGATTCTAATACTGAATACGGGGACTTTAAACCCTGATAAAGGCATAGTATACTCTAATACTACTTTTCTTATTAAATACCTATACGTTAACATTGGAAGTTTTTCAATTAATATCAGTAATAAATGATCTTTACGTAACTCTGCTTCATACAACTTTAACCAGCCGTTTAATCCCTTTATATTACCAGTTCTAACACAATCACTTAGTTCTTTATATTTATTTGCTAAATTTACATCAATCTTTGATACTATCCAGAATTTTGGTAATTTATTCATCATTAATCCAACAGGAACCAAGTATTTCAATATACGATTAATGTTTCTCTTTAAAGGCGAGGAATTTTCGATTTTTATATTTAATACATCTGCTACTGATGATAACATTAAAAATGCATTGTTCAATTGAATGAATGCGTCCACAATCTTATTGTTCAAGATGTAGTATCTCCCCAATAAGTATCTATATTCCACTTGTTCTTTTACTGGGAATTCACTAAATATAGTTACCATACTCTTAGGTTTAAAATTTTTGAAAATATTTGAACAAAGTTGAGGTGAACCAATCTTGAAGTAAATATTGTTCAATTTGTTCACCAGATATAATAGTATTTTCTGTTTCCCAGGTAATTGGTCAAAACTAGGTTCTGACATTATAGTTTCACCATCTATGCTTCTTGAAGGTTTAATACTATTAAACAATTTTGATATAATCGACGAACAATGCGATAAGAATTGATGCTTTCTAGTATGTAACACCATATAATGATCGTCCAGCTTTGACGCTACTGGAATGATATATTCGGTGGCAGCTTGATATATCGGAACTAAAGGATCTATTGGATAGTTATCATTTAATAAACAGTTGTTAAGATCAGAATAAAACTGAAAAATTAAATCATAACTTTCGGATAAGGACCATGGATTGACATCCCGACAATATCTCAAAAATGAAACTACCATTATATTAAATCTTGTCCACTCAGATTTCCCAGATTTATAAAATTGGAAACTCTGTGATTCTACTAAACTCTCTAAAGATTTGTCATTAATTGCATTACCATTTGAATAATTTTGCAATTCACTCTGTAATTGTGAAACTATTCTCCCATTAACCGCTAGATCCAATGATAAATTGATAAACAGCCCATTGGAAAGATCATTGAAGAAGCTCGATAAATTATAACTCATTATTATTGTTACTATTATTTAATATTTTGCCTTAAACTTTTTATCTTATCTTCACCAATTCTAAAACTTATAGAACGCAAACAAAACAAAACTAAACACAGCAATCACACCACATTAACACAACACCTGTTCACTCTCTTGAACCTTGAACAATACATACCATTGTATCATTCAATCAAAAGAAGTTTACCTTAACTATGTTGTATATTTTCAATTCTTGATATATTTCATATCCCATCGCTAATAATTTTTCATTTAATTATGATCAATTTTAAAAGAGATATGTAAACTTGAAGAGGTTACAATAGAAAAGATGGATTGAACAAGAAGATAAAGGTGGTTAGATCGGCAGACTATGTCTCAATACGGCTACCATAAAAGCAATTAGTTGATATCGATTGAAGCAGTTTATTATGTCTGAAACTAAGCCGTTAGAGAAGAAGAATAAGAAGACTGGTAACCGTTACTTTCGTCGTGGGAAGAAAGGATCAGGTAAGAATAAAGATGGAATAGAAGGTAAAACTGGTGCTAGTAAACCAGGTAAAGATGGGTCCAATGGTGGTACTGTAGCTAGTAACAATCCGATGGCTAACAAGGACAAGGTGAATAATAAGTCTGATAAATCAAAGAGAAGAAGAAGAAGGAACAAAAAGAAGAACGTTGGTAAAAATGGCGATGAAGAGATTAGTGGCCATAAACTTGTGTTAAGACTATTGCCTCCAAATCTAACCGAAGAGAAGTTTTGGGAGATTGTTACTCCAGCTTTGGATAAATTAGAAAACTATGAAATTGAGAGTTCTTATTTTGTACAAGGTGAGTATACAAATAAGCCCTTCCAAGATCCAAGTTATTCACGTTGTTATATAATCTTTAAAAAATTTGATAAACTAAAAGAAGCTGCTCAGAAATTAGCTACTGTGAATTTCATGGATGATAAGATCGATTCAGCTATCGCTAGAATTAGGATTTCTCCATACAACAAAAGCATTAGTGTCATTCCACCAAACCGTCCTAGTAGAAGAAGTATTGAAGGCACTGTTGAAAGTGATTCCTTATTTAAAACTTTTATTCAATCATTACAGATAATGGAGGAAGAGAAAAACCATTATGAATATTCAGAAGTTAGTTTATTCAAGTCATTGAAAAAAGAATTGAGTAAACGAAATGAATTGGCAAATGTAATGAATAAGAGGAGAGAACAGGCATTAATTGAGCTTGCAGGAGCAGATAATAAAAAAGATGGTTCAAAAAAGAAGAAGAAGAAAAAGAAGAATAAGAAGAAGAAATCTGAGAAAATAAAAGAATCTGAAGACACTAATGTCAATAAAGGTCCTTCAAATGTAAAAAATAAGAAGATTAGAAAGAACAAGCAAAAGGGATCTAATTCTCAAAAGGAAAACCATAATAATTCGATTGAAAAAAATAATAACATAGTAATATTAGAGGCAGCTGGTAAGAAAGAACTACAAAGACGAAAAAAATTACAAAAAAAGAATGAAATGGAATTATCTTTAAACAAATTAGCTTCATTACCATCTAAAAATGTTGAAGCTTCTTCTGAAACAAATAAGCAACCATCAAAAATGAAAATACTTAAGAGACCTGAAAATTGATTCCATCGAAAAGTTTAATTGAGCAATGTCAATTGGATGAACTAAGAAGATTTTGATAAACTCACTGTTAATATCAATCGGTTTAATTTAGAAGAGCAACCTTTTATGTTCTGTAACAGAATGTTGATGGGTCTTTGTTAGTTTTTATTTTCAATAATGAAATACTCTAGAGACATCATTATTACATATATACAATAGCCATAGTTGCATCCCATTCATTTCCGAAATGGTTAAATTATTCTGGTCAATAACCTCACATTCTAACTTAAGGTGGTCAATTGGGATCACACAGCATCAAAAATAAATCATTAATTATTACATAGGTTTTAATAGTGATATTACATATTTTATATATTATATTATATTATTATTCAGATTCATCATCACTAGACGATAAAGATTCATCGCTACTTTCATCATCCTCATCACTTGCATTTAGGTCAGACCATTGACAGTGACCAAGTGGTATTCCCCATATTTCATCTTCTGAACAGAGCCAATCCACTAGCTCATCTAGATGTATTATTTTTATTTCAATTGATTGGGACATTGACCAACAATCTGTATCCATTGCGACACTTTTCAGTTTCCTATAGTCACTAATGCATTTTGAAAAGAGTTCTCTGTACTTTTTAGAATTAACCTCATCATTATCATAATAATATTGAATTCGAATATATGTCAACACTAGAGCCACTAAATATTTATTATCAAAATTATCTATTACATTATCTTGCATCTGTATTATAGTCATCAATTGTTCCCAAGTTGGACATATTTCAATAAGTTTCATTAGAATGCATTTGAATTCGACTCCTCCTAAGAAGCATACTTGATTAACACTTTTATCCTTTAATGTTCCCAGATCTCGAACAATGACTTCAATTAGTTGTAACATATTTAATCCTCTTAATGATGAGTTATCTAAATTGGCTTTATAGTAAATTGAATTATGAATCTTATCTCTAGTGATTCTTGGAATCACTAGAGAAACTGACTGATTGTTCAATTGCTTGTTTGATAGGTGGGACTCTACAAGAAATTCGTTACTCATTCTAATGTATATTATATTATACTGCCAATGTATTCGCTGTCATTGATTATGTTATGTATCTTTGGCTATTAATTATTAGCTGGAATCTATAATATTTTTAAAAATCTCATCGATTTGCTTAAAGTTTGTTAGAACTTCAAGATTAAAATATAATGATTATTTTAATCATTTGACTATTTTGAGATAACAACGTACCCCATGTAATGATAACTTTCTTTATACAGCTCAATTGAATTGTTTGATATCTATTTAATTTAAATTTTTAAATATATATTTCTTTATATACAGGATAATGATTTAAATAATTTGAAATAATAATTTTAATGAATAATAAGATCAGGAATTACAAGTATGACTATCTGAGAATGTGTATGTATATGGAGAGAAAATGAGAGAGACGTAGTTCATAATATTCAGAACCAAGTGACCTTATCATATTTCTTCTTTTCTTCTAGCTTTTTGGCATACTTTCTACCTTTAACATCTAAAATATATTTATCAGCATTCTTAATGGCTACCTCCATCTTGGCCAATTTAGATTGACGAGCAAATTCATGTTTATGACCCTTAGGTGTAAGCACACCTCTCATGAATGTCTTCTTATCGTATTTTTCTTCAAAGAACTTCTTATTCATTGGTGGTAAAAATTCTTGAATACCATAACTGTGTGCCATTTTATAAAGATCACTCATACGTCTTTTGGAGTATTTAGGTTCGTGATAACGACCAGTTACTGGATGTTTGTTAGGCAAAAATGGATTAGCTACAACATCGTATGTTGATACTGGTTTAGTAGCATATTTTATTGATGGTGGATATTTATTAAAAAAAGTTTTCAATGAAGAAGGTAGAAATTCAAAATATTTAACAGAATTCATTACTGATGGACTAGCTCTCATATCAAACACTTAAAAGAATTACTGCACCTCACAATTTTACTATCAGTAACTTTAAACCTTATCAACTTATATGGATACAATGCCATAATAAAGCTTATCTAGATTTAAATATTCTTTTAAATATCAAACGCTTTTCCAAAAAATAATCAATATCACGTGATATAAAGATTTAGGGATCACATAGAACCAAACATGGTTGATGAGTAGAATGACAGTTAGAATCTTCAATTAATAGTCATGGAATTAATTCATATGAGGAATATAGATTAATGCTACTCTAATTACAAGGTTACAAATATACAGGAGCTTTAGCAGTTATAAGGAATGAGAGTAAAACAAAAATAAAATAAAAGCAGGCAGACACACAGATCTCCGACACACCCAACAGGAAAAGGTTGATATAATCCATCTAATTATAGTTTGCTTTGCAATTGTGGTAATTTATCATACCAAAATTTAAGAGCCACTTTGGATCTCATAGTTGTGACTAGAGTCCACATTGTAGAGATGAGCTCATGGTTTGCAGTTTTATCGAAATTTGAAGTTAAGATCAAATCGCTACATTTTTCTAACCATTCTAGTATATTGCCGTTTGAAATAGAAGCTGACATGAATATTAAACATTCTATCAGTGTCTTCTTTGTTTCATTTGGTAGCCCTGGGGTTTGGATTTTAGAGTAAATATAGTTACATGTTTCGGATGGCATCGATTCCTTCAACTGACTCAAGTGCTGAATTCTCCCTGAAACTGTTTGAGCGATCAAAATTATTTGATTTGGTAAAAGTTCACCATCAATGAATGCTGTAAAACTTGCATCCAGATACTGTGGGATTAATTTGATTTGCCAATCGTAAAGTTTTGTGTTCAGTGCTGAAAGAATCATCCAATGGATAGATTCCTTAATATCATTATTTGAAGACCTTATAAACTCATCGATTAGTGGTTGAACAATAGTCTCAATGAAGTGCATATCGATCCCTTTGAATTGACTAATGGTAGATTCTAAAAATGTTAATAAGAAAAGTAATTTTGAAATACTTATTTTATTTCCTGACTTCGGATCACCCCATATATTAGATCTCATTAAACACACCAAATCCATATAAATCTTGGGATTTTTTTCCGCAGCCATCTTGATACCTGTGACTGACACATTCAACACATAATTATAAGATTCAAATCCTGAAATACCGAAATCTTTGACTATGAAATGGATAAAATATAGGCAGGTGATTACCTGATGATACCATTGAACTGGGATAGTATTTCTGCTTTCAAGAATCCCTTTGAGAGAAAGAACAATTGTTAGCAGAATATTCACATAGTGTCTATCAGAGTAATCATTGCCCCAAGAACCACTGTTGTTGCTTTCTACTGTTGATAAATCATAGCACATTTTGCAGAATTTAGCTAGTATAGTTGAAGTTAATTGTTCGGAACAATGTGGAATAGATAATAGCAATGTTTTTGCTACTTTATTCATATTTCTTGACATGAACTGAGATTCTTTGATCCCTTTAGATGTAATATAATCTGACGATAAATTTGTCAAAGCTATGGTAATGTTCTGCCAAGGCAATACCCCAAAATTATTGTCCGATTCTCTACTAATCGCACTATAGGATAACATTAGTTTTCTTACAAGATCGTTCCCGTTACCAGTATACATACGAATGAAATCATTCCATATTGGAATATAATACTTTGATCTCCACGTTTCATAAAGGTTTCTTACACTTCCTGAGTCATCGACAAATATCGATGACTGCAAAGATTCAAATTTATCCTGAGTATCCAAAGCACCAGCAACAATAGCAATCTTATAAACAGACCAACTCTTACAGCCCACAATATAACTATTCCAAATAGCACAAAATGTATCTATTGGCACCACAGGTTCAGATATCTCTAATTTCCATTGAAATATACCTTTGACCATTTCTTGTAACTCCAGAAGATCATAATTATTCCAATATTGACTATTGAATATACCATCTACCATCTCATTCAACAATCCAATCGAGCGGATCCTGGCAGTATAGTACACTACATTATTCAACAAAGCTTGATTCAATTTTTCATCACCATTATTTACAGTTCCCTTTATTCTTGTTGATCTCAATATCCCTAATAAGTACCTTATCGAATTTAATTCAGTATCATCAATCTCTTTCATCTTTATACAAATCCCTCCAAAATAAGACCAATAGAACTTACAAGTACCAAATGTATCTACCTACCGTTATGTATTGACCTTGATTCCAACCAATCTTTATCTACAAACAAGTTCAGTTCATCTTAAAAGTTAATCATATTCTCTTTTCTTAATTTTTGATATTTTAAGACCGATTTCTAATGATAAATATCAAGGAAAGTTTCATGATTTTAAAGGTTAATTCATAAGATAACAATGCATTCATACCACAATAGAGCGTTGATATAGTCGAGGACTGGTATATTGGGTTGGTATAGTTTATTTTAAGAAGATTCTCTGTGTGCTATTAGAGGTCCTGTTAAATTTGGCGCATTGTTGGTTGGTTTACTTAAAGGTAAAGTAAGAGAGAAATAGAGAAAGAGATATATAAGAAGTTCGATTCAATTGGATTGAATCAATTTAAATTAACTCAAGATGTCAATGGAACCACCAACTGGGTTAGGTGCATTTCCTGTAACGAAATTCTGCATGGTATCTACCGGATTTGTGTCGATATTAGCATCAGTTATGTCCTGCAAATATTTATTCCTTGCAAAATATGATCCATTTATAGAGGAATATCATCAGTATTATAGATTATTCACTTATCAATTTGGAGCAATTAACGAATCAGATGTAGCATTACTGATATTGATATGGTATCAGTTAAAACATTTAGAGAGATTATTGGGCTCTTACAAGTATATCAACATGATATCTCTGATATATATATATACGACAGTGATAATTGCCGGTTTAAGTATTCTTACTAATACATTATTGGGTATCACAATTTGGAATAATTATCCTACTGGTGCACTCCCAATAACTTTGGCATTGTTCCATTTCTATAAAGAATATACTCCACAGATATATGAGTTTGAAATAATTTTGAGTCCACCTTGGTCAAGGTCAGCAGATAGTAAACAATTAAAATGGAAATTAAACGATCAATTTTATATCGATGCACTAATAGCGTTATTGTTAATCAATCAAGGGCTAGCTGGATTAGGATGTGGATTTCTCAGTTGGTTAGTTGGTGTATTCTTAGACAAAGGTTTACTTCCTGGAATTGAAGGTTGGAGGTTACCATTTAGCAACAGAATTTTTTCAAAGAAATCTACTGGGACTAATACTGAAAGGAACACAACTGAAAATATGGGCAATGGAGCTGTATCTGGTACTAACTCGGTGGCTGGCTCTGCAAATGTGTCAACAGCAGAATTGCCATCCAGAGAAGAAGAAGTACCCGATGATGAACCAGCACGTCCATTGGGTGTCCAATTTTTAGATACATTCCGTAGATAAGTTTGTCTGTTTATTACTTTGATAAATAAGCTACAAAGGTTTAAATTAATGCATTAGAAATCTTTTATCATCTATTAAATATTGTTAAATAATTGTACATTATTTCTTGATAAAATAGTAAATTAATCTCATCGACTAACATTATGAAAAATTACAGGTCTCTGATTTCCATTTTCCATTTTAATATCTATGTATGGGCCAAATGACGGTTATTTATGTTTTAGGATGGTGTAGAATCAACCCATGATTATATCTTTAACTTTTCAGTACCTTCTTGTGCCTTTTTAAGTTCTTGTCTTTTTTCAACATCCCAGTTGTATAATCTTGCACAATTGACCTCCATAGTAGTGATATTTTCCCTTAGGAATTCAGCATCCTCCTCAGCTATTTCCAAAGAATCTTTGGCATCTTTCAATTTATTTGTTAATAGTTCAATTGCTTCTGCTACTGGATATTCCAACATAACATCGGCACCTAACCACAAACCAACTTTTAAATCTTCGTTTTCATTTGACTCAATAACAGCTTTGGTAAACAAGGTATCGTTCAGCTGATAATGAGTCTCCACTGGCTTATCTCTATTTTCCAAAGTCTTACATATCTTTAAAGTATTTTCAATATCAGGAATTCTAGTCTTCAACTGTTTTATAGTGTTTTGCTTTGATTCCTGCATAAATTTATACTTCGATAATCTTTCTTGAAACTTATTGAAAACCAATTCAAAATCATTGACTTCTTTAATAATATCATTGACATTTTCCACAAATGGAGCTTCTGGAATGCCTCGACTATTAGTCTTTGTAGAGTTAAATAGAGTATCCATAATGAATCAACCAATAAAAACAACTAAAATCCAGTTTCCTCTGGGGACAACAAACAAAATAATCTAAGGTAACTTATCAGTCTAAAAATGATTACCTTGATACCTTCTTATATAAAGTACAATTGAGTTTATTCTTCTTGAAATAAACCTTCAAATTGAATAAACTACTAGTCTTTAATATCAACTTTTCGAATTTTTCATTATTTTTGATGTAAGAAAAAAAAATGATTCCAGATTGAAAAATATTAAAGGAAAAGACATGAAGTAAAAGTGTTTAAACCTGATTAGATGATGGTTATAGTATATCAAGATGTTAAGAAAATTGTATTTTTGGTTTCTTATGATTTAATTTAAAATTCTGTTCAGAAATTGAAAAAATTGGTTAAAAATTGGTTTAGTTCTATTCGTTAGAGAGATAGTGACATCTTGGGATTGATACATAATGGGATTAAACTGTAAATCAATGAATTGGTGGTTGAATTAGAACGATTCTTTTTAAAGGATGGGATAATTGATATTGAGTTGTGATTAATTGTTGATTTTAAGAATCTATTTTGATGTTAAATTATCTGGAAACGTCATTTTTTGGCCATATGGTTTTTCCACTGGTTGGGTTTATAGTGACTAAATAAATTTTGTTCCCGAAATTAAAACCATTATTAAGTATAAAAGAGAACGAACAATGCAACCTATCGTATAGAGAGGTGTTTACTTCATTTCATTATTGGTGTGAGCTGTTGAATGATATCCTTGTAAAAGATTGAGTGTTGCCAGAAGGAAGCATTGTTTTTGTAACCATAAGAGATTTTTGAATTATTTTTTATACTATGTCTGAGAGTCCAAAGGAAACAACTCAAACACCAATTATTTTTGCTCCTGAAACTTATCAATATGATAAATATACTCTAGATGAGTCTAAATTGTCTTCTGATCCAATAGAACAGTTTACTGGATGGTTCAAGGAAGCTAAAGAAGACCCAAGTGAAAGCATACCTGAATCAATTACATTCTCATCTGCCGAATTACCAAGCGGTAGAGTTTCATCAAGGGTTTTACTATTCAAAGAATTGGATTCTCGTGGTTTTACTATATATTCCAACTGGGGTACCTCTAGAAAGGCTCAGGATATTAAAAGCAATCCAAATGCTGCTATAAATTTCTTTTGGAAAAATCTACAAAGACAAGTAAGGGTTGAAGGTTTTACCGAGTACGTTAATCGTGAAACTTCTGAACGTTATTTCAAAACCAGACCTCGTGGATCAAAAATAGGTGCTTGGTCTTCACCACAATCTAATGAATTGAAAAGTAGAGATGAATTGGAACAATTGATTAAGGAAAACGAAAAGAGATTCGAAAATGTTGAAGACATCCCATGCCCTGATTATTGGGGAGGTTTAAGAGTTGTGCCTTTAGAGATTGAATTTTGGCAAGGGAGACCAAGTCGTTTACATGATCGTTTCTTATATAGAAGAAAGACAGAAAATGATCCTTGGGAAATTATTAGACTGGCTCCATGATAAAATCATATACTTTTACCACTTTTATTTTAATAATTTTAAATGTGCTCTTAAATAGTTAAATCTAGATACTATGATTAGTTTTTATTATGTAATGTAATCATATCTAATGCATCATCTATCTTCTTAAGAAGATTTTCGTTATATTTTATTGTTACATTATGAAACTCATGCAATTTCTGTATTAATACATCTCTCTCTTCTTGTGTTAACGATATATTAGCAATTTTTGAAATATATGTAAAATTTAAAAAGAACATGTTGAATAAAAATGTATGATTTTCCTGTTCCCTCGTTCTTACTAATGAAGTAACTCTATTGAAGATTTCTTTGTATCTTGAAACAATAGATTCATCGAGACTTAGTCGAGAGTCTCCCTCTGAAATGAAATTTAAGCTTAGCGCTAAATTTAAAATAACCAAATCTACCTTATCCTTGCTTAACGGTAGTATATTCCTAGCAATAAATGGTAATGTTTTGTTGACAACTTTACTTTTATTATTGTTGGTAATAGATGTCAATGACTCTGAGGAATTGCTCAATAAAATTAATACCTTAATGTAAGTTTCATTATTTATCCGTTCGTCTAGTAATGGTATTAATATGTCAAGTGATTCTCGAGTGGTCTCTAAATCTAGACAACCTGTTGAAGCAATAGTCTCAATCAGTGCTAATATAGCCACTATTATATCCTCATTTTCGCAATTGTTATATCTATTTAAAACTTTACAAATATCTACTATGACATTTGAAGATTTGAACAGATTCTTACCATAATTCTTCCAAAGTAACGTAGAGTAAGTCAAGCATGTATTATTATTTGTCTTGGTTAAGAAATCTTTATAGTTTAATTGTACCATTTTTTTACCAGCGATGGTTACTGGAGGGAGTTTTTCTTGTAAACTTAAACGTCTTATAAATTTATCAAAATTAGCAGGTAATAAATCCTGACTTATAGGCAACTTACTAGTTATGAAACCTAATAATAGAAGAACTAAAGGATTATCGAACTCATCCCTCTGGAAGCACCATTGATAAATATCCTTATTTGAATGCTTATTGATATATGCTAAAAATGCTTCATCACTATTCATTGTCAAAGATAGGTTTAAAAGTTTAGATATGAATGATTCTTTACTTATTTCTTGGGGTGATTCTTCTGTAATGAATTCTAAATCATCTTGAAATCGAAGCATGTTACCCATATTTTTCAATTCATTATAATGATGTGTCTTTGCAATTTCGCTATTCTTGGGGCTAGATGTGACGCTGTCCTTGCCAGATTGCTCTGATAATTTTGAATTTTTGGTTAGGGAGCATTGCCCATCCTCGTTGTCCTCTTCCTCTTCCTCGTCGCTGCTCGTGGACTCTTTAGTTAAAATTGTACGATTCCTGCCATACAATTTTCGAGACTGACCACCTTCATTTTCATTAATTAAAATATCTTCAACTTTCTCCTTCTCCATAAAATTATCTTGAATAGTAGAAGTGATTGATTCGGAAGTAGCATCTTGTAAAGAAGATAGGAATGAGTCGATATCATCTAAAGTTCCTTTCAATGAATTATGAATATCCTCTTTAGACTCATCATCTGAGCCAACATCGATTGATGCCTGTTTCTTATAGTTTTTCCTCCTTTTCTTCAACGATTGAGGTTTATCCAAGAAATCGAAAGCGTCTAATTCTAACCTATTATGAGATAACTCGCTAGAGCTACTAGGAAGGTTACCAGTACTTGTAAATTCGGAATGCGTATCTGTGCTTAGATCATTATCAGAAACCAGAGATTTCTCCTTTGGTGAATCTAGTTCTTTATCTTCTTCAATTAAAGAAACTTGTTCTGTATCTTCCTCACTGAAATCACTTAAATCAATTTCTGAATTTCCTCTCCCAAACGAAATCGATACAATTTGATTCCTTCTTCTACCATACCCCTTCATATCAAAAAATTCTATAACCAGCCCCTTCCACAATCTGCCATTGTCCTTTGAATCATCCAGAAGTACTTACTCGAATAACATTGAAGTTCTTGTTTTATAATCTAGTGTTTTCAAATTTACGCGTATTATTTTATTTCAAGAAGTATTTAATACGCGTCCCAATTTAAAAACCTTCAAACTCATCAAGTTAGTTAACAGGATCATGATAATTCAACAACGATTGATATAAAGCAAAGGTTCTTCATATTTGTTGTGGGTATATCAGGTGTTTACGAAAAGTGAGTTGCCTACAGGTAGATAGATTGGAGATATGTATGGTGATCTGGCGAATAAATTGGTCCTAGAGGCCAAGAGATCACAACAATTGAGTAATAAAAGCAAAAAGGGAAACAGTCTGCCTATGTATCATGAAGAATTGGTTAGAAATATATTACAGGAGGTGGTCCAGTTGAGTAAGAATACTGAATATTTAAAAGAGCAACAACAACTGGGTAATATGGATAGTAAAGTATGGAAATGTCAACAATTTGTGATGTTACTTTGTATGGAACGTAATAAAAGATGTTTACTTGCGTATCAAAGATTAAGAAGTCAAATGTTAGACTCATTAGCTTGGGATAATAATGGTTTAGATATTCTCCATGATACATTGGGGAACACTCAAGATACAACTGATTTGTCACCACAAGAACAAGAATATCTTAAAGAATATTCCGAATTGATAACAGAATTGAAAAGTGGTGCATTAACAGATATTGATTTGACAGGCAGTTTAACACCACCGAGTGATGTTTTCATCGATGTCAGAGTGCTGAAAGATGCAGGTGAAATTCAAACTGAATATGGTGTTTTTAATTTAATCAAGGACTCCCAATTCTTTGTTAGACAATCTGATGTTGAAAGGTTAATCCAACAAGGTTATCTGCAAAAAATAAAATAAGAAAGCAGGACTAATGAGTTTTAAGTGTTACTTCATCTCAACTCCTATAGTTATGTAATAGTTAGTGCATTCCCCAAGTAATAATGAATAGATATAATGATAGATATCGGCGATAAAAGTCAGTTAATTAATTAATATATAGAAAAAATTTATGTAAAATTTGAGATAATATTATTTAGATTAACTTGCTTAGTCGTGCTTCAAAGTTTCAGAGAAGACAGCAGCTGGCTTAGCGGAAGCCTTTTCAGCCTTCTTGGAACCCAACTTTTCAGCGGAGAAAACCTTAGCGTATGGGTTCAATCTCAACAAGACTTGTTTGTTCTTCAATGGGTTCTTCTTCATAACGTGAGTACGTTTTTGAGATGGTTGACCAGCTGGTCTAACAGCGGATTGGATTTCAGAAGAGTTGATAATTCTGGTAACATCAGAAGTGGAGATGATGTTTTGTGGTAAAGAGTAACCGGCCTTGGAAGAGGCGACGGTTTCAGAACCCCAGACTTGGTCCAATTTAGCGAAAGCAGATTCAGTCCAGATGACGAATCTACCCAAGTGAGCACCTGGAGCCAATTGCAACAAAGACAAAGAAGCAACGTTAGCGGTTTCAACACCTGGAACGTTTCTGAAAGCCTTAACGATACCGTTGTCTTCAGCGTAAACGACCAATGGACCTCTTCTTTGAGTCCATCTTCTGTTTCTGTACTTACCTTTACCGGCTCTCAATTTCTTGGATTTCAAGACCTTGACCAAATCGGCTTGAGCACCGACAGCCTTCAAAGCAGCAACAGCTTCCTTGGTCTTCTTGATAGATTCCAAGTCCTTGGAGACAACCAATGGGATTTCTGGAATCTTTTCGACCTTGTGACCTCTAGCCAAAACCAAAGAAGCGACAGCGGAAGCAGCGATAGCGGAAGCAGTAGCGTAACGTTTTTCGTTGTGGTTAACCTTAACGTTCCACTTTCTCCAGGTCTTGGTTGGAGCAAACATACGACCACCACGACACATGTTACCGAAAGCAGCTTGACCAGATCTGTGGGTACCACCACCACCAACTCTTGGAATACGGGCAACAGCTCTACCAGTACCCCAGGATTCGGCGGAAGTTTGGTGACCAGCCTTTTCGGAGACAGCGTAAGCTTGTCTCTTGTTCTTGTTAACAGAAGTGAAAACAGAGTGAACAATATCTGGACGGATTGGAGCTGAGAAAACAGCTGGTAATGGCAAAGCAGTAGAAGTAGCTTCACCAGTCAAAGATTGAACGGTAACTTGAGGACGAGACATTTCGAATATGTTTGTTCGTTTGTTAGGTGGTTATTTAAAAGAATAAATATTACAAATTGAAATAACGAAACTAAATTAAATAAACTTTATATTAGAATCAATTGAAAAGAAAATTTTTTTTACCATTCATTTAAATGTGTTCAACTCATCGCTCTCTTTATATACCAATTTTATGAAATTCGATGCGTCTTCGAAAAATGAAAAAAAAATTTTTTCATGAGTTGCGTTGTTTCGTGTTGTGTGATGTCACGTGTAAATATTACCCTCACTGTATAGTCACGTGCGAGTATCCTGCTGGCAACCATATATACAGAAGAGATATAAAGATTTGGTAGTAGTCTGTCCTTTATTTAAATACTCATTGAATAGGTCTAATCTTCCCAATTCCAGCAAAGGACATTCTAATTAGTAACGTTCTCTTCGAGTCTAATGAAAACTCTTAACTCGGCTATGAAGTAATCTAAAAGAGAGGCTTGTGTCACTTTTCCTAAGTATCAATTGTCCATGTTTTGCTGACACCTTCTGTTCTAACACCCAATATCAACAAAAATTCAAGTCTTGTTTTATAGACCCGTTCTAAGTTAGCCTTCTACAGTTGTTCATGACATTTTTTGATATTATTATAGCAATCCTAAATTTATTCTGTTGGGATATGTTTTACTGGATGGTATTGTTTTGCCCATTTTTTACTACGTATTTCATTGCTGACAATATAAAGATGTATATAGCCATGGTCGAGCAACTTAAAACTATAACTAATAGAGTGTTGCTACAAACTACGGTCAGCTGCTTTGCTGTTAAGTTAATCATTGACTGTTTTTCCATTATTTAAATTTGTTGTTATCTCCTCCTCAATTGTTTCAATCTAAGTAGTTTTTACTCATATTAAAGTGTGTCACATTGTTTAATTACAGATGTCATGCTAACATTTTATTATTTAACACTATGTCATATTTAACTAATTGTCTATAAAAACTTGTTTGAGTCACGAAATTAATGTATATTAGGATGATAATAATTCTTACAACTTGTCTAGTGTTCTTTTGATGATATTGCTTTCACTTTGGATTAAGATGGAAATGCATTTTATTTGTTCCTCCGAAAGTGATGTTCCAGTGCTATCAGCTGGTACTTTTGGTAATTTCTTGGCAGATATTATTTGTTTAATTAGTTTATTATCTTCGTGAGTAAGATGAGACTCCAATAGTTGTATGATTTTCTCATTTGGTTCTTCAGTCAATGAAGAGTCGACAAGTTTCTTATAGATAGACTCTTTTAAATTTAATGTTTTGATAAAACCAATAAAGTATTCATTCATTTCACCTTCATAGTTCAAGAACATATCAGAAAGCCAAGATTGAGAATCTTCGTCGTCTTCTTCTTCTTCTTCCCCACAAGATTCGCAACCATCTTCATGTTCATGCTCTCTATTTTCCTCTTCCCCATGGTGTTCATGCTCACCTTCTTCACACGAATCACAATTATTGTCATGTTCTTCGTCATCATCTTGCATCAAATGGCGCCAAGCTTTAAATAATTCATAGCCTACATCTTTCCACCATTTTGAGCGTTCAACGTATGTTTTATCAGTCTTGCAAAAGTTAACCACCTGTTGACTTAGATCAACAATGTCCAAGGGATTGTCATTAACGCAAAACCCATAACGTGCAAAAAGAAATGAATTTGGCATTTCACCATATGAATTAAAGATTTCTTCATCTTTTAACTTATCATTGATAAGTTCTAATTCTACGTAATCGTCACCATTCTCTTCTTTTTCATTTTCTTCAATAGGTTCATTTTCTAATTCATTTATGAGTTCTAAACTGATAGTTGAAGGTTTGGTATTCTCATTTTTAGATACTTTTAAAGTTTCTTCGTCTATGTTTGACATTTCTTCAGCAATTAGATGTTTGCACATTCCAGGTTCACCACATTTATCACAGACGTCAAAAAGAGACAAAAATTTCAGATCTGGATTAGTTACATGATGATTGAACAGGTCAGCAATAGGAACCAAAGCTGATTCGTGATAATTATCAATTTCGAATACTCTTGAGGAGATTGCGAAAGCTTGAGCAACAAATCTGTTAAATTTCAACTTGACATCATTATCATTATTGACATCCAAATTAAAGAAATCTTCTGGTATTGGTAAATCGAAATCACTGTTCCATTTTGTTGCCAAATCTATTGCGATTTCAAAACCTTCTTGTAATTCTTCTTGCGGCTCCAAAGCGCCATATAAAGTGTCTAAGGTTGTACCTTTTAATAACAATTTATCATTTTGATCCCAGAAACATGGAGGTAAAACCAATTGGTCGTTATTTATTATGATAGTTTTCAAATATGGATACCAATGGCTTTTATCTTTAAAGATTGTAGTTTCATAAATGAAAGCGATGTTTAAAGCTAACATGCCGTCAATCTCATCATCTTGCAATAAATTTGCAATTGAAGAATTTGAAGCAGAAAATATAGCAGATTTATGTAATTTCAATAAAGTTGTACCTTTCTTAATGTCATTTTTAGCAAAAACACCAATACCACCGATATTTGAACTTCTAATTATACAATCATCAGAATCAAATTTACCATCAGTATCATTAACAAATTTTACTATATCACTGATATAGTTAGGACATGTACTAGTCATTGCAACGATACGATACCACCAGACTTACACTTACACTTACTCTACTTGATTCGAGATTGATTTGTCTTGAAGTCTAGATATAAATCAATTTGATTTAAAATTTAATTATATTGCTTGATCAATTGATTGATTGATCTAGCTCATCGCGTTTTCATTAAATTTGATATTGAATAAACAATAAGCGAAATAGGTATTAGTATGTATAAACAGGGTTTTTTAAAAAAATACTAACTTCTAAATACTAAAGAGATAGAGATATAAAGGAAAACCTATTAAAAGTTTTAAAGAATATATAGATATATATTTAAAATGGGGGATGGAGGGAAGGGGAAGGGGAAGATTGTAAATATTTCATTTTTTTTTTATTTGATTTGTCGATTCGTTATTAATTTATATGTGATAATGAAACGAAATCGAATTATTTCAAAGCGGCTTGTAAAGCTTCCAAGACTTCGATTTGGATGTCAGCTTCAGCAGCGACCTTAGTATCGGTAGAAGACTTGTTCTTGTTTGCTTCAGCTAATAAGTTTCTGATATTTTCTGAAGAGAAGGAGTCCAATGGGAAAGCTTCAGCGGAGGTGATTGATAAAGTTGAATCAGGTTGAACAGAAGCAAACCCACCAGAAACGAAGAATTTCTTTGGAGCTGAAGAGACTGATTCTTCGAAGATTTCGATGACACCTGGGGTCAATTGTTCTACGATTGGCACATGGTTAGCCAACACACCGATGTGACCTGATTTTACAGG